ATAATTTTAGAGTTACAAAAAACTTTAAAAGTAGTGCAGAGAATTCCTGTATATCCTTGACCCTGTTTCTCCTTTTGTTAACATCATGCTTTAACCATGGTACACTTTTCATAACTAAGAAATCGACTTTGGTACGTTGCTATTAACTAAACTCCACCCTTTATTCTAATTTCATTAGTTTTTCCCTAATGTCATTTTTCTGTTCCAGGATCTCATCCAGGATACCTCATTACATTTAGTCGTCATATCTCCTTAGTCTCATCTTAGTCTGTGTCTTTGTTTTTGTTTTTGATGACCTTGATAGTTTTGAAGAGTACTGGTCAGATATGTTATAAAATGTTCTTCAGTTTTTGTTTGATGTTTTTCCTATGATGCAGTGGAGTTATGGGTTTGGGAGAATACCACAAAGGTGAAATGCCTTTCGCATCACAAGATGTCAACATACCGTAGCACTAGTGATGTTAACCACGATCACTTGCTTAAGGTAGTGTTTGCCAGGTTTCTCTACAATAAAGTTATTATTTTTCTTCCTTTTCATGCTCTATTTTTAGAAGAAAATCACGAAGCCCAGTCCATACTCAAGGAGGAGGGAATTATACTTCCATTCCAGGGGAATTGTATATATATATTCAGTGCAGATTCATGTATAATCATACTATGCTTTCAGTTATAATCCAACATTATTATTATTTTGTTTTTCAAATTATTCCAATGTGGCCACTGGGAGCTCTTTCAGGTTGGCTCTTTTGTCCCTTCGGCATGCCTTTATCCTTTGTTTAAGGGGTTCTTCCTTGCTTCCTGGGGCTACAAATGCTTCAAGCTCATCTTATATTTTCCGTGTTCCAGTCCTAACTGAAACTGAGAGTTGCTGACATCAACCATTCTCAAAGGATCCCTGGTTGCTTTTATTGGAGAATGATATTTAGAAAAGCAACATCTGGGATCTGGGTGCAGGCTTTCTTTATAATAATTTCAACTCAGTAAATGCTGCCAAAGCTGACTTTTTGACATTACATTCACAGAACAGTTTAATGATTGATAGATTTACAGGTGACTTTTTAATATACTAAAAGGTTAAAAAGCTCATTTACAAAAAGTTGAACGCTGTTGTAGAGCCTTAGCATCTATTTGCAAAGTAGTTCTTCAAAGGCTAAAACACTTGTAAAATTCAATTGATGATGGGAAGAAAAGAGATAAAATGCAATTTGCCACGTCAAAGCTTGTTTTAGGATTCAACATCAACTTCATCGCAAATATTTTATGACATTAACCATGTGAGATATGTTAAATTCTTTAAACTGCAACAACTGCAGACTGTATTTTAACAGATATGATATCATAGTTTGTTTGAATACAATTATGGTTTATCTGTACACGACAAACAGCTTCGAATTTATTTCTTCTCCATAGATGTTTATGTTAATACAAATGTTATATTTACCACAAAGCCTTGCTCCACCAAAATTTAAATTCACATCATTACCACAAAACAGATAGTTTCTCTTTAATGGTAAACATTTTATCTAAGTTTCCAGTAGCTTCAGAAAGTTGTCATTTGTTTCACTTTTTCAGAATGCATTTCCAAAACTTTATGCTTAGGAGTTTATGCTGAATAATATGAAAAACCAAAAACGAATTTAAGCAAATCAGATCTTCCTGTTTGAAATTCCCTCTTGGAGGAGTTTGGAGAATTGGTTTGTTGGGAGAAGGAATGAGCAACTTATTCAGTAATTTATGGGGGAAAATGAAGACAGCCTGAGCTAAGGCAGTGGTTATGGAGATGGAGAAGAGCTATCTCAGTAGATGTAAAGGTACTACATTTAACTGAATTTGGTGCCTACACAGATTTGTGAAGTGAGAGAGAGGAAGGAGTAAAGCATGACTTCTAGGTTTCCAATTTGATAACTAGGTGGTTAACAGAACCATTAATGAGATGAAGAATAAAGGATGAGAAGACTTGGTAAAAGACTGTAATCTCAGCACTTTGGGAGGCCGAGGTGGGCAGATCACTTGAGGCCAGGAGTTCGAGACCAGCCTGGTCAACATGACAAAACCCCATCTCTACAAAAAAATACAAAAGTTAGCAGGGTGTAGTGGAGCACTCCTGTAATCCCAGCTACTCGGGAGGCTGAGGCACTAGGATCACTTGAACCCAGGAGGCAGAGGTTGCAGTGAGCTGAGATCATGCCACTGCACTCCAGCCTGGGCAACAGAGTGAGTAAAAACATAAAATAAAATAAAACACTTGGTAGAAGACATGAAGGAATGAGGAGTTCAGGTTTAGACAAGCTGTCTGAAGATATTGTTTTGGGAGTATATTCTTTAGTATATAATTGATAATTGAAGCCATAAAAGAGGTCACATGGGGTTGTATAGAGAGGAAAGAAATCTAAGGAAGAATTCCAGCAACACTTAAAGAGTTGTTAAAGGAGCCTGGGAAAGAATGGGCCAACACACAGAGAGGAAACATCTCTGAATGAGAAAAAAAAAGAAGGTACTTGTGTCCCATCTGAATGCCTGCCAAAGGGTAACCTCTGCAGAGGAGAATTTTAATAATCAAGTAGATAGAATGAGCTGTCCTGTGGATACCAGTCAGTTTCTTTCTTTCCTGCCACTTTTGTCATTGGCCAATGGTGTCATTAACAAAGTGGTCCTGATGACAGAGATGGTGGTTATGCATGAGCTCAGCAACATGGACTTCTACTCACCAAAGTCAACTTGGATATGGCCACAGTTGAGTGCCCAATCTGCCAGCAGCAGAAACCAACACTGAACACCAACATGACACCATTCCCCATGGTTATCATCTAGCTACCTGGTGGCAAGTTCATTACACTGAACTACTTCCATCATGGAAGGGGCAGTGTTTTGTCCATACTAAAATAGAAACTTACTTTGGATACAAACTTGCCTTTCTTGCATGCAATGCTTCTCTGCCAAAACTGTCATCTGTGGATTTACAGAATGCCTTATCCACCATCATGGTTTTCCACACAGCATTGTTTCTGATCAAGAAACTCACTTTACAGCAAAAGAGGTGCAGCAACGAGCCTATGCCCTCACCAATGCAGGTGGACATTATCCCATTCATTGAGGGTTTGCACAGAACAAATAAGTGGACTAATGGTGAATTCACTCTCCCCATTTGAGTTGGGGCATTTGTCTTCTCCTGCCCCTGGACATTGGAGCTCCTGGTTCCCTGGCCTTAGGAATTAGAACAGGAGTTACACCACCAGTTCTCCTGGTTCCCAGCTTGCAGATGCCAGACTGTGGGACTTTTTGGTCTCCACAGTCATCATATAAGCCAATTTCTATTATAAGTCTTTATCTCTATATCTATCTATCTCTAATCTATCTAATCTATATATCTACCGTCTACATTCTATTCATTCTGTTTCTCAGGAGAACCCTAATACAGAAGGGTTGCAGGATGGGCTATTGAATCTGGAAAACAGGAAGAAAGAGAAGGACTCAAGAGACTGTGATCTCTGAGAAATCACACCTTTGCGATAACAGCAAAGAGGGAGAGATAGATGCTTGTGGTCAGAGAACAGAGTTTAAGATTTATGAGGTGGAGAAGTTCAGGATAATAACCAGTTCTGGGATAGGACCTGGATTATGTTTGACCTATGTGTGATGTCAAGGTAGAGATTATTAAAAGACACTGAGGAAATTGCCATTATTCACCTTTTTAGGTGTAACCTAACTGGGGGCCTAACCTAATGTCATAAATCAGGATAAGAAATTTATTTTAAAATTCTTATATAGCCTCTTTGTCAGTAAGCAAAGTTTACCTTAGCCCATGTGATTTACCAGAAACCCCTTGTAGGTCCTAAAATTTGAATAGAAGTTGGGAATCACATGCTTGTGTGCACGCTAATGGCTTGAGCTGGCACTTAGTTGGCACTGCCACCAAGTGGCCAGTAGGGAGAACTGCATTTGATGCTAGCGCTGGTTCTCAATGAGGTATTTGCCGTTCTGAGATCCAACTCTTCAAGCTCCGGAGCTACCAACCCTCCAGGGGAGTATTTGTGTGACAGCTTTCCAGTGAAATGTGCAATCTGTCAATCCTTTAGATGAGAAAGTACTTAAAGGATGTAGCTTGATGGATGAGCTACTCTAGCATAGTCACAGTTTTTTCTTTGACAATTTGGGAAAAGGTTGTTTTCAGAATAACTGAACACTTATAAAAACAGAGACTCCAAACATTGAAAAACAGAAAAAGTATGCATATTTGATGATATCATTTCTACATACAGACTTGAGGCTTCAGATCCTTGCAAATTTCTCAATAGGGAAGGACATTGCAGCATGGCAGACCACGTGAATATACACAGGGAAGCATCATGAGCATGGCCTGTCCATTGCCTTTTGCCTTTGTCTTGTGTAACGGTGCCATTTTTACTATATATACAGGGACACTGTGTACCTTTGAAATACATATTTGAAAGACAAAAAGGCGAAATTGGTCAGAACTGAGAAGCAAAGAGTAAACCAGTGGACCCTGTCCAATATCTCCTTGACTTTATGGTGGCTCTTGATTAAAATTAAGAAAAAAAAAATGGTGATTGGGAGATGAATAGCTACCTTCATTTACTAAACAAATTCCACAAATATTGATATTTATTGAGTACTTACCATCTATGTAAGGTAACGTCCATAGTGCTTACCATGTTCTAAGTGACGGAGACACAGTAATAAACAAAAGAGGCCAAAGGCCCTTGTAAAGCTGACATTCCAGCAGACTTAGGTAGATATTATTGCCCCTGCACCACAGATAAAGAAGCTGAAGCTCAGAAATGTAGCAAGTAATTGACCGAATGAGGTATTAGGCACTGGTCTGTTCTACAACAAAATCTGTGCTTGTTATCTTTATAGGAGCAAGGAGGTGTAATCTCTGACCCTTTGTTACACCTGAGAACTGTGCCATAATGATTATTACAGAAGGCTTTCTGACATACACAATATCATTGACACCTGAAATCTTTCTTTAAACTTACCTTATGAGAGTCAGGTTTACTAAGTGTCTCCACATTCTTCTGTGACTTTTTTAAAAATTACACTGTTTATTACATTATATTGAAATTAACTTGTGTATGTCTATCTCTCTCATTGGATTGTGGGCTCCCTAGAGCAGAATCATATCTTATTTATCTTTATAACCAAATCAAGTTCAGGCACTGGCAGGAGTCAAAACCCAGTGGTGCAGAGTAATTCTTGACAAATTCTTGTTGGCTTGAACTTGTTTGAGCTTTAGTCTGCATAGGGGGAATGGAATTGCCAATGGAAAGAGAGATAGACTAAGAAATCTCACCTTTTAAGTGGATATATTTTCTTCTGTGAGTATAATACCTCTAAACAGCCTGAAGGACAGTGCTCTCTGCTACCACTTATGATCACATAGTACTTTACATTTGGTAAGTTATTTTACACTCATCACATTTGTTTGCCTTATGAAGTGGGTGGGGCAAGTTTTACTTTCCTCATTTTATCCATAATGAAGTTGAGGCTCCCAAACAATAAATTACTTCCCTCAAAGCACACAACTTACACAAGGGGCCTTTAGACTTGATTCCAATCCATACCTAGACCCATTACATAGATCTGTCTTCCCTACAGTGCTGCTACTGTGAATTTTATCAATTCCACTATAAACATGTTTTATAATCTGGAATTTGTCAAACACAGTACGTCTTTGTTATTAGATAGTGGAGCTATTTTTACTCAATACACAAGGACACAATGTATCTGAAATAAAGAGATGAAATTCACCAACATTGAGAAACAGCAAACCAGTGAGTTCTTTTCAATTTCCCATTGAATTTATGGCGGTGCTACACTAAAATTGAGTAAATTAGATCATTTTTCTGAATAGCTATTACAGTAAAATGAAGGAGATTTATAAATTATTTATAAATCATATAATTCAAAAATTATTCAAAAAGCATAAATGTAAATATTAAATGTAGGCATTTAAACATTTCACTCTCAAAGAATGAATGCATGGGAGGTGAAGGATATGACGCTAATTCGATGGGGACATGAAATGTTAAAACCTTAGAATTCTGAGCTACTGCCCCCCAAGAAAGATATTAATGTGCACACAGCAAGTTTCATGGCACCCACATTTCTGCTCTGTTTTCAGCTCTTATCTCAAAGACAAAGGGAGCAGACTATAACACTCCCATCCCTTTCCCACAGGGTGAGCAGGACAAATAGGTGGCTGCCCCATTAATCCATTACACTGGCATAAGATGCAACTAATAGTCACATCAGAACAGTAGGCATTAATTGGGATTGTCTCAGATAAACTGAGATATATGGTAACCCTTGTAATAAGAGCATGCATTTCCCAGAGCATTTGGGGAGGCAATTATCCCTACAAACTCTGAAGCCAAAGTGAAACTTGTGCAAATTAATTGAGACTGAAAACCAGCCCTGGCATTTCTACCTTAGCCCAAAAAGCACTGGAGACATAGCAGAGGGTTACGGAACCTGATGCAGCAGGAGAAATACAGAGTGGATTAAGCCAAAGACAGTTCATTGAAGTTTGTTTCCTCAAAGTTTCTCATAATTCCTAAGGATGGAGTTGGATATTAACATCCACTTTCTCTTTTTATATTATATATAGCTTATTATCTATAACTAGCCTTAGGGCAACTGTTTAGTAGAGTACGTAGTTCTCATTCCAAATATTAAAGATGGTAGTTCACAGTGAATCTTGGCGATTGTCTGTCTTAGAACCCAAGGTAAAGCACCCTTCATGTTTTTTCAAAGAATAAAAACTAAGCTGTATACCTCAACTCACTAACCCATCAAAATTCTGCTACCCAACATGAGCAAACTCATAAAAATGACTTCCTTTAAGAATACTCAATTAACATGTCTTACTTCTATCTTAGGAATGGATATCATACTTTCATTTCATTTGCACTGTATCTATTCATGTGTTTATTTTCACCACAAGATTGCAAGGTCCTCATTGGCGGGGATGATATCATCTTTGTACCCCTAGTATCTGGAATAATACTCCAAGCATTTTATTATTGGGAATAAATGTCTTTTAAAAGTACCACTTTTAAAATAAAAGATTTTTAAAATGAAATAATTTTACTAACACATTAGTTAATAGATAGCACCGTACCATAGACCAGCCAGTCAGGGGCTAATACAGTGGGAAGAAAGAAGTCCACCTAGAATAAGGAAAAAGTATAAAAGGTCAACTGATTTTTCACTTTGTTTTGAGACATTCCAGGTCATAATGTTTTATGCTTACTGAGACAGCTTACATGATAAGCTGTGACCATTCCTCAGGAAGTTGGAAAGAAATAAATTCTTGTACAAATATCACTCCCAATGGTAGTTGTTCAACATGAGCACATGTATTTGAAATGAAAGCATAGGCCAAGGCCCCTTAGGGAATATAAATAGATATCAACAATGATTCATAGTTACCAAATTAAATGAAAAAGGAGGTGTTTTCTATATGTTTCCTGCAACCCCTGTGTTTTCTTTTGTGCTTGAAAGCAGTTCCAAGCCTTGGCATTGTGACTAAGCTTAAAAAAGAGTTCTCCTGAAAGTGCTCCCCATTTCTCAATAACTAAGAGAAAAAGAGATCAGCCAGTATTTTAGGTTATTCATTCTCATTTTTAACACCAATATAGCTGCTAAGCAACTTTAATGGCAAATATTAGATTTATTATTTGAAAAAATGAATTTAATTAAAATTGATCAATATAATTCATTGGTCATTTATTAAAAAATGAATGTTCTTTATACCAATTATAAAATCATTCTGAAATTTGTCTAGCACCAGAAGTGGAAAATAATTTTTAATCATTTAGAAATTTAGAGCTGTACCAGACAAGTCACTGATGTGAAATTTAGCAGCCATGAGAAGGTAAATGGGAATTTACTAATAAGCAAACTTTTTTAATCTGATGGATTGGTAAGGCTTGAAAATCATTGTCAATTGTTCTAAGAGTTCATCCAGGTTTCTTAATAACAAGTTTAGGACTTAGGCAAACTGCTCTTCTTTTTTGTTTTTTAATCCAAAGTGTATATTTTATATGATATTATTATAATATAAAGGTAAAAAATGAAATGAGTTTGGGAAGTAATGAATTAATGCAGTCCTTCTCAGAGCCTTTAATATATTAATGTGGGCTATGACTCTGAGAAGAGAGAGTTATATGTGGCCCAAACTCTTTTGACTATTTTATTAGTTATCTACTGCTACAATAATTCCAGATGGTAAACCACACCAAAACTCAGTGTCTCAGAACAATCATCATTTATTCTTATAGAGCTGAAGTTTGACTGGAACACTTCTGGTTCAAGCAGCAGGCCTGGGAATTTGTGTTTTCTATGCTTCTCTTATCCTCCCTGGCTTAGCAGGCTAACCAGGACATGTTCTTCTTGGACAATGCCAGAGGTACAAAAGAGGCAGTGAAAAGGCAGTAAGTTTCTTAAGTCCTACTGCTGAAATTGTCATACTGTTTCTGTAATCCCTATTCAACTAGACAAAGCAAGTCACATAGCCAAGCCCAAAGTCAAGGAGTGATGAAATATGCTCCATCTGTGATAAGGCCATTGCAAGGAGTGGATCCAAGGAGGGGTTAAAGAGCTAGGACCAACAATTCTCTCACAACAAAACCCTTTGTTTATGGATCATCTCATGGAACTAGTGCTCCACAGGACACGCTTTCAGAAACACTGCAATATCTCACTGTTTTTTATGCAATGCTTATGTTAGTGGGCACAAAATGACATCTGACTGACTTCCTGAGAATTTCCTAATTCAGGCTAATTTCCTGAGATGCTGCAGCCTGAGAGACATTTTAAAACATTATAATCTAAATGGAACCCACTACTAGATTCCTAGCAGAAATTCTTCATGTTAATTGGTCTTTAAAATCCCTTCTGTTGTCAAAACTCAATGAAAATTCAGTTCATAGAATCAATATGGACACAGTGGGTTCAGTTTAGAGAGAAATCATTTTCCTAGAGAACCTCAGTCAGGATTCTGTAAAGGATTTTGGAGGGAATCAGATCCTTTGATAGGAGTAGATGATTAAGACTAAGTTCTCCAAGACTGTACTTCGAGGAAGTGCAGAGCCAAAAACCAAGCTGGGTAGCAGATGATTGCAGAGACAAGTAATATCCCAGCCCAGGCTAGTGAGGAGCTCAGGAACAGCCTGGGTCCTCAGAAGAAGCCATGCCAAGTCAGCACAGAGATGTTCCTGAACAATCCCTTAATGAGAAGGAATAGAGATCAGAACCCACTGCGGGCACTCTGCAGTCTATGGTATATATACGTGTGGAACACAATAAGCCTCATCCTCATCAGCATGTGGGGTCAGTCAGCATCAATCTCTTTTATTTTTATAAAACCATAATTAATGAGACTCACCAAAAATCCTTGAACCAAATGAAAGTTTTTCTGATAAGCATAGTCAGAAGTCTGTAGCCATAGTAGGACAAAACCAGGTCAGCAGGAGCTCTGCCCACAAAGCCACCTCCCAACACATAAATTGCCAGTACACTGAAGTGCTTTGTCTGACAAACTTCCCAGTTTCCAGCTGAGAAAAAAAGGCAGGGACTTTACAGAGGTGGGATTTTAACTGGGCATTCTGGCTCCCCTACCGTTATCTAAACCATGTGACCTCATCAGAAAGCTCAAGGTCCTGCGTGAGAATTGGGTGGGATTCTATTTCCGGTTCAGCCTCTGTTTCACTGTCTATGGTTTACTGTAACTTTTAACCTCAGTTTCTTTATTAGTAAAATGGGATAACACCCATCTTGTGTACCTTCCAATTATTATAAAAATAAAGAATGTGATGATACTTTTTAAAGTATACATAAAAAGTGGCACTAAAATGTAAGATGAGGCCACATATCCTCCATTGACATCAATGGAAATTGACAAACATAAGCAAGGATGCAATTAAGCCTCATATGCTAATGTTTTCCTAAATAGTGATCTCTAGCATAGGCTTTCTAGCCACCAATGCCCTATAAAACACAATACAATATATTGGGCTAGGAAAAAAAATGTATTCTTCACTTT